GATTTCACCCCTTAACCAAACCAAGTCAGCCTTCCCTTGGTGCTGGGCACAATCCACCTATGGGACAAAGAGGCTTGTGAAGCTTAAAATGCAAAGGTTGGAAGTTGGGAGGAAATGAGAGTTTATTAGACGCAAGGAAAATTTATAAGAGTTTGGGCAATGCTTGGCTTAGTGCCCTCTGCCTTCAGAGGCTCCTCCTATTTATAGATGAAGCCAGCCACTCTAGGTAGAGGTTCTAGAACATTCCCAAAGAGTTCTCATATTTATACTTTCTAGAACACTCTCAAACCTTCCCTTCTAGCCTAGCCTATAATATTCTAGAACAATCCATTTCTAGAACTATCTACAAGGCCCTAGGAAGATATTTACATGAGTTAGGCCCAATGGGCCCGTCCAGACCCTTTTCTGGTGTGATTCCCACGCGCCCAGCAGCTTCTAGAACATTTTGGGCTGTTCCAGTCTGTCACACAGGTGTCGACACCATGATTTTGGCTTGTTCTCGGAGTGTCGACACTGTTCCCGCTTGCGACAATGCCATCATGAGCGCGCTAGGCCGTTGAGTCCACGACATTGCACCGCGATCCTGGCATTGTGACCCTTTTCTTGGGCGTCCGAGCTCGCGGTCCGTGACACTCTCCCCCACCAAAGCTCTTGACGCCCTCGTCAAGCTTCCTGATCTTGTAGGCCTCGATGGTGCTCAAGAACTGCCACAAGTCTTCCTCGCGTTCCCAGCTGGCCTCGTCATCGAGCTAATCCTTCCACTTGACCAGGTACTCTGCGTGGTTGGGAACTCCCCGTTGCCGAATGACTCGATCAGCTAAGATCTCACTCACTTGCTTGTCATACGAGGTTATGGTCGCTGGTGGTGCTCGTTGTGACACGCCTCGCACTGGATCCTCCTGATCTGCATGGAATGGCTTGAGCAGGCTCACATGGAATACTGGGTGTATCTTCAGCTTTGGTGGAAGATCGACGCGATAAGACACCTTTCCTACCTTGGCAATAATCGGGTAGGGTCCCTCGTATCGACGCACCAGCCCCTTGTGCACTTGTCGATAGGCTTTAAACTGCTGGGCTGGTAGCTTCACCATCACAAGGTCGCCCACTTGGAATTCCAGCGGCCGTCGCTCTTTGTCTGCCCACTTCTTCATCTTTTTGGAGGCCTTATCCAAGTAAACTTTAGCCACATCGAGCTGCTTCTGCCAATCTTTTGCCCAGTTGTAAGCAGCAGGACTTGCACCAGTATAGCCTCGCGTCACATAGTGAGGGGGCAACGGTTGTTGGCCTGTCGTGATCTCAAAGGGGCTTTGTTGGGTGGCCTCACTCCGCTGCAGATTGAAGGAAAATTGGGCCACGTCCAACAACTTCGCCCAGTCATGCTGATTGGCACTCACGAAATGCCGCAAGTATAGCTCCAGTAGTGCATTCACCCGTTCCGTTTGCCCGTCCGTCTGCGGATGAAAGCTCGTAGAGAAGTGGAGGTCTGATCCCATGAGCTTGAAGAGTTCCCTCCAAAACTTCCCCGTGAACCTTGGATCCCGATCGCTGATGATGGTGCGGGGAAGCCCCCAATACTTCACTACGTGCTTGAAAAATAAGCGGGCGGCTTCCTCTGCCTTGCAATCCCGTGGGGCTGGGATGAAGGTTCCATACTTCGAAAATCGATCAACCACAACCAGTATAGACCCACACCCTTCAGACCGTGGGAGAGCTGAGATGAAGTCCATGGTGACACACTCCCAAGGGCGTTCTGGGGCTGGCAGGGGCTCCAAGAGACCTCCAGGTTGCCGCTGCTCGATTTTGTCTTGCTGGCACACTAGGCACGTCCTTACATAGGCCTCAACGTCATCCCGCATCCGTGGCCAATAGTATAACTCTTCCACCAGTGCCATGGTGCGCTTGATCCCTGGATGTCCAGCCCACCTCGAGTCGTGGCACTCCTTCATCAGCTCCCGTCGTAAGTTCTCCCACTTCGGGATATATAGGCGATTGCCCACAGTATATAGAGCTCCATCATTGCACCAGAATCGTCGCGTCTTACCCTCACGAGCCATCTCCATAAGACTCTTGGCGAAGGGATCATGTGCCAGGCCCTCCTTGACACGATTCAGTATGTTGCCCTCAGGTCGGCTGATGGAGGCAAACGTAGCCTTGCGGCTCAGCGCGTCTGCCACAACGTTAGCCCGCCCAGGCTTGTACTCCATCACATAGTCGAACTCAGCCAAGAAGTCTTGCCATCTCGCTTGCTTGGGCGTGAGCTTCTTCTGCCTCTGGAAGTAGCTCGTAGCTACATTATCAGTCTTAATCACGAACCTGCTCCCAAGCAAGTAATGACGCCAGACCCGCAAGCAATGGACGATGGCGGTCATCTCCTTGTCATGCACCGGGTACCGCCTCTCTGTGTCATTGAGCTTGCGGCTCTCAAACGCTATGGGATGGCCATCTTGCATCAAGACTCCTCCGATCGCCAAGTCTGATGCGTCAGCGTGCATCTCGAAAGGCCTCCCATAGTCGGGCAGTGCGAGCACTGGTTCTTGGCTCACCGCTTGCTTCAGGTCCTCAAAGGCTCGTTGACACTCCGCGGTCCACTCCCACGAGACCTTCTTCTTGAGCAAGTCTGTCAAGGGTGCGGCCCTTGCCGAATACCCCTGGATGAACCGACGATAGTAGTTGACTAGGCCAAGGAATGATCGCAGCTCGGGGACTGAGCTGGGAGGCTCCCACTCCTGGATGGCATGCACCTTGGCCGAGTCCATCGATATCTTCCCGTGGCCAACCCGATGGCCTAGAAACATCACCTCCTGCTGCGCAAATGAGCACTTTTCTTGTTTCACGTAGAGCTCATTCTCGCGCAACACCTGGAGAACTTGTCGAAGATGCTGCACATGTTCTTCCAGCGTCTCGCTGTAGACAACAATGTCGTCCAGGTACACCACCACGAATTTGTCAAGGAATGGGTGGACGACTTTGTTCATCAGGGTGCAGAAAGTAGCTGGAGCATTAGTGAGACCGAAAGGCATCACCAGGAACTCGTATGCACCGTAACGCGTCACACAGGTGGTCTTGGCCTCGTCCCCCTCAGCTATCCTCACTTGCCAATACCCTGACCTCAAGTCGAGCTTGGTGAACCATCGTGCCTGCCCAAGCTTGTCAAACAGGTCGTCAATCAAAGGAATGGGGTATTTGTTCTTTACCGTGAGCTTGTTGAGCGCCCGATAGTCGATGCACATGCGAAGGGTCCCGTCATGCTTCTTCTGGAACAGCACTGGCGCTCCATAGGGTGCTTTGGAGGGACGGATGAACCCCGCGTCCAGTAGCTCCTTCAGTTGCTTACGGAGTTCCTCCAATTCAGGTGGAGCCATGCGGTAGGGACCCATTGCTGGTGGTTTCGAACCAGGCTCCAGCTCAATGGCATGGTCGACCTCCCTCCGTGGTGGAAGCTTCTTTGGCAACTCCGAGGGCATCACATCTTCGAACTCGCGGAGCATGCCTTGTACCTCCTGGGGAACATCAAGAGACGAGGTACTATATTCCTTCATAGCAGCTAAGTAAGTTTCCTCACCTCGTTTGATGCCTCGGGATACTTGTATAGCCGAGAGGATGCGGTCTCCAGCGGGCAGCCGCTCCAAAGGCACCTTGTGACTCTTGGTCCCATCCTCAAAGCATATGCAGCCATCTTTGGTGAAGGTGAAGGGTAACAGCTGATCAATAAATTCACCACCCAACACCAGCTTAAAGTCGCTCATGGTTATGACATTCAAGTCGACCTTCCCCGACCATGAGCCTATCTGCACGGGCTCCCCACGTGCAACGCCACAGATGGGCTGAGAAGGATTGTCGACCACCTTCACCCATCCTGGTTCCTTGTTGTATGGCAGCCCCAGCTTCTCCGCAAGACTTACTGCGATCAAGTTTTGGTTAGCGCCACTATCTAATAGAGCACGGACGCTTGCCCCTTTGATCTTGACAGTAACATATTTGAGGGTCTTGCCGACACCCTTCTGGTCTGCCGCGACACGCGCCTTGGCGTCACCCCCGCTCTGCACCTCAGCCCGTATGGCGTTGAGAACCTGCATCGCTCCCAACCGTGTCTCTCCCGCTTGGGATGGTTCCCCAACCGCTGAGATGAGGGCGTTAAGCTTGTTCCGCTGCGGGCACTCCCTTGCCCAGTGCGGACCGCCGCACAGGTAGCAATCCCGCCTCACCTTGGGTTGCGTCTTGCTGCCTTCACCCACCTTCTCTGGGCTCCTGAAGGGCTTGAAAACCTTGTGCGGTTTGTCTCCCCCACCTCTGCTCGGGCCACCCTTCTTCTCTTTGCCCCTCTTAGGAGGCTCCTTGCTGAACTCGATAAGTGATTCGGCAACCGCTATGGCTGACGCAAGGTCTTGAACACCACGGCGCTTCAGCTCTTGCTCGGCCCACCGCTGCAGTCCATCCATGAAGTAGAGGAGCCGATTCTTCTCAGTCATATCGGGGATCTCAAGCATCAATGAGTTGTACTCCCTGATGTAGTCCTTGATCAACCCCGTATGTTTGAGCACACGAAGCTTCTTCACAGCAGCCTCTTCAGCATTCTCGGGGTAGAACTGCTTCCGAAACTCCCCCTTGAACACCTCCCAAGTGTTGATGTTGCATAAGCCTCGTTGCATCTCAGCATGTCGGCGTCTCCACCACAGGGTAGCATCGTGCTCAAGATACATGGTTGCCATACGAATTTTTGCAGAATCATCGGAAATATTCATGGCATCTAAATAGCTCTCAACCATCCATAAGAAATTATCGAGCTCTTTAGAGTCGCGCTTACCTCCATATTTGGGCGGATCAGGCACCTTCAGCTTGGGTGCCACGCTGGGCGCACTGCCACCTGCAACGCTGGCGGCCATGGCGGCCTTGCATAAGGTTAGGTCCCCCTTGACCTCGCTGAGCTCTGCCTTCATTGCGCTCACCTCTGCTGCAATGGACCCGCGAAACTCCTCCATGGCCTTATGCATGTCAGCGACAAACGAATTAAAGACACCCTGAAGCTTGCCTTCAAGCTCCTCGCCACTGCCG